AATAACTGTAAAATTGCCGACAGCTCCTGGTAACACTGGGAGAAGAAACAGGATTGCCTAGAGACACAAAGCTGCAGTACAAAGAGCCCACAACGTGTAGTATGTGCCCTTTTGACCCAAAAAGTGCAGTGTTTTGCCAACCACGCTTTATGGATGTCACCCTCCCATTACTGGCTGACACAGCTGAGGGGGCCTGAGTGCCTTTGCTCAAGCCAGATGCATTATTCATCTGCAGCAGACGCCTGCTTTTTTCCCTTCATCCATCGCGCTGACCCTTTCAAGGAGGGGTCACGAATGCTCCTTCATGTCTCTGAATCCCATAGTGCCTCAGAGATGCTGAATTCACCCTCCCAAGACCGATTCCATCCCTTCCTCCAGACTGTCTGCGTCTCTCAGCTGCGTCTCCTTGATCTAAACAGGATGCTTCTGTAGCTTCATTCATGTCAGCTTCTTGGAAGGATTAAGTCGTTGCGGTGATTCCATGTCATCAGTAGCCAAGGAGATGACATTAAACCATTACCTTCTCTCTTTTTAAATATTTACTTTATATTATTTATTTGGCTGTGCCAGGTCTTAGTTGCGTCATGTCAGATGTTTAGTTGCACCATGTGAACTCTTAGTTGCAGCATGTAGGATCTAGTTCCCTGACCAGGGATGGAACCCAGACCCTCTGCACTGAGAGCTCAGAGTCTTAGCCACTGGACCACCAGGGCAGTCCCAAGCCATCACCCTCTTTAAAGCAGCAGCAACTCTCTATTCTCCGGAAGCCAGTGATACTGTTTACCTCTTTGCGCTGATGAGAAAATAATGTAATGACAGTAATTCGGATCCGATTTGGAAATGAGACTTGTCTCCTTGCACCCAAGTGAACCTGTCTGTCTCACGGACATCCAACAACCAGAGGATACCCTGCCCACATGGTATCTCCTCCTCTGGGCCTTTTAAGTCAGTGTAGATTGTGGAAGAAGAGACACCAGCATCCAGATGGAGTATCACAGGGCTGAAAAACCCTTGTCCTCCAACTGTCAGAGCTCCAAACAGAGCCAGCTTTGCCCGTCATATACTCACACTCCCCTGTGTGTCTTGTGTTCCTTCTTCTCCAGACTGCCTGCCCACGTGAATGGGAAGCTTCGAGGCCACACTTTTATTTCTGTAGTTATGGTGACGAATTAATGAATCAGATTTAGTGCAGTTCAAGTCGCTGACTCGAAGGCAGCTAGAATGCGAATGCTTATTTAAATCATTAAATTTGTTACAAGTAGAACGTGTTTTAATATTTATTTACTTGACTTCCTCAGGTCTTAGTTGTGGCACACAGATCTTTGTTGTGGCTCGGGCTGCTCTAGTTGTGGCACAGGTTTAGTTGCCCCGTGGCATGTGGGATTCTTAGTTCCCCGACCAGGGACTGAACCAGTCGCTTCAGTCGTGTCTGACTCTTTTGCTACCCCATGGACTGTAGCCCAGCAGGCTCCTCTTGTCCATAGGGTTCTTCAAGCAAGAATACTGGAGTGGGCAGCCATGCCCGCCTCCAGAGGATCTTCCTGGCCCAGGGATCAAACCCGGGTCTCCTGCATTGCAGGCAGATCCTTTACCACTTGAGCTACCAGGGAAGCCTGGGATTGAACCCGAGTCCCCTGCATTGGAAAGCAGATTCTTAACCACTGGGACCACCGGCGACATCCCCACAAGTAAAACTGAACCCCAGGCTGTGATGTGGAAAAGGGGTGCCTGCAGAGCCCACATTTCCACTTCACTCCCTGCTCCTGATGGTACGTCACAGAAGCACATACTTATTTCTGGGCACCTCATTTGTACCATCAGCGCTGGGCAAAACCGTTTTGCAGTTTTAGTATATCATGCTTTCTTTTCCCAAGGCATGCAAAGTCAGAAGCTCATGGAAACAGAGGCTCTTCAGCCCCAAAGGCCTCGAGCTCCCCTGGTGCAGCACCCACGCTCGACAGCTGGCGCTGGGGCCCGCTGGTTTAGCGAGTGCTGACAGCTGGCCTCTTGGCTGCCAGGCTCCGAGCAAGGGCTTGGGATCCAGTGGTGACCCAACCTGCAGTCTGTGCCTGGAGGCAGGAGATAGCTGGCTAGTTTTGGGCTGGCAGTGAAGGGCCGGAGGCGTGACCTCGCCCAGCCTGGGGCCAGGGCAGAAGTGAACTTGAGCCAAGAAGTAAAGACATGCAGGCCTCAGCTCATGGGGAACGGTGGGCCAAAGGGAGGACACAAGAGGAGGCTTTGGGGCAGAGGAACCCAAGACAGGCCCCCAGGGTGCAGAGGCCAAGGCCCTGGAGGCTCACTGAGCCGCTGGGCACAGAGACCACAGGGCTGGTCCCGGGGCTTCGTGAACCCACCCCACTCAGAGCCGTGGAAGGTTCTGTTAACATCACTCTGCTCCTCTGTGGGGACAGAGCGGGGGTTCTGTAGCGATCCAGGTGAGGGTGATGTGGCTTAGGCGTGAGACGGAGAGAAGCAAGTGGATTCAAGAACTGTTTTCGAAGTAGGGTCACCAAGATACAGTGGTGGCTGCTCCAGGTGGCAGAGCAGATGGTCAGCGAGGGGGCTTTGGACGCCTGGTCTGTTCTTTACCCACCTAGACCCACTAAGTTCTGGATAGAATGTAAACGGTTCTTTATCGTCAATGGCAAACCCCTAAAACACAGGCTCTGCTTTTTCCATTAGCCACATTAGCACAGATTTAGGTCTGTCCTTTTAAATTATTTCTGGCTACGCTGCATGTGGGCTTTTAGTTCCCCAACTAGGGATCGAACCTGCCCTTCCTCCATTGGAAGCTCAGTGCCTTAACCACTGGACCAGCAGGCAAGTCCCAGGTCGGTCCTTTTAAAGAGGAGAACAACGCATCTTCCCTGGAATTGCCACGTGCAAAGCCCACCGTAGATCCTAGGAGTGGATGTTCCCAGTGAGATGATGGAGCTGATGCCAGGGTGACAGACACAGGTCTGCTGAGAAGTAAACCTGGGCATTCTGACCGAAAGCTCCAGGAGTGGCCCTGCGCTCGCGTCCGTTTGACATCAAGGCCGTTCAGCTTTGGGACGCTCTGCAGCCCTTCGTGGCTCACACCCTGGACCTGCCCTGCTCGGACCTGGCGCCTTGTCAGGTCAGCGTCCTCCTCCCAAGGCCACATCCTGACCACACCATCAGGATCTCGGGCACCATGGGGCTCGAGTTAGAACTAGTGTCTGGCCCGGCAGTCCCGTACAAAAAGCTTGTGGCTGCAGCAGGGAGATAATTCCAGGGGCGACAGAAACCTTCCTTGCTCCCACAGGCAGGCTGCTGTTGGCTCCTCCAGAGGCAGCTCTGGTGGATGGAAACTCCACTCTGGCGTGGCCTGTGGCCAGACCTTAGGTAGAGTTCCAGGCCTCTGGGGAGATCCGATCCTCCTTCCATAGAGATAACTCTTTTATTTATTCAACCCGTTCCTTCTTGCTGGATTTTGAGTTTGTTTGCTGACTCAGTTCTGACAGTAAACTGCAGTGCAATGACTGTCCTTACAGCTCCATCTTCCTCACACGGAGGTTATTATTTCCCTCTGGTGGATTCCTAGAAATGGAATTGCTAAGTCAGAGGGAAGATAAATGCTAAGGCTCCAAGCAACACTTTGCCAGATCGCTCCCTGTAACAAGGCGCAGTGAACGTTCCCACCCAGAGCTGCATGTTCCGTTTCCTCTTGTGTGTCTGCGTGTGCACTCGGCCTACTCTTCGCGACCCCGTGGACTGTAGCCCGCCAGGCTCCTCTGTCTGTGGGATTCTCCAGGCAAGAATCCTGGAGTGGGTTGCCATTTCCTTCTCCAGGAGATCTTCCCTAACTAGAGTTTGAACCCGCGTCTCCTGCGTTGGCAGGCGGGTTCTTGACCACTGGGCCCCCGGGGAAGCCCCTGAGTTTCCTCTTAGTCACGGCTTTCTCTAGCCAGCTTCTCCCCCGAGTGGCGTGTCTTTCTAGGATGTGCGGGTGAGCATGCTCCTCCCATGCTCTGGCGCATGCTCTGCCCTTCTCTGCTCATCTTCACTTTCCTTTGGAGGGGCCTTCTCTTGTGAATACAAATGCATGTCCTGGGGTTCTAAATACACCCCATTCTTAGCTCCAGAGTTGGGGTGTAAATGTCACCACGGGACTTAAGAGATAACAGACTGAGCTTGCTGTCACCCATTGAACTGTCACCTCTAGAGTGGACCCTTGAGCCACGCTGCTGCCCTACCACCCACCCACCCACCGGATGCCCCCTGAGAGGTGGTGTTTCCTCTGGGGGTGCTTGCTGGCCCAGAAGACTAGGAAAGAAGCACCATGAGGCTCTGTATTCACAGGGATAATTTATAGACAGATAATCCACATTTCATCCTTAGCATTTTCCAGTGCTATGCAAAGGTGTCTTGAATTACTCTGGTAGCCTTTCCAGAAAGGCCGGCTGACTTCACTGCATCTCTCTAGTTACAGTCAGGCCAAGAGTCTAAGCCCTGAGTGGCTGATGATGGAGGCTGGAAGCTGAGGGGCGGGGAGTAGGGCAGGGTCTGAGTCTGGACTCTAGACTCCTCCTCGTGGCCCTGTGGGATTGTTCTCAGGAAATCAGAAGAAAAGAGAAGGGTCTGCAGGGGGGCTCTCAAGTCTGTGAAGTCCTGGGGGTCTTCCCTCTGAAATGCCCCTTCATCTCCCTCCTCCTCCTGGCCTGGCAGCTCTAGAGGTCACTTCCTCAGCACCTGGTTCTCCTGGGAGGAGGCAGCCAGTGCCTCACCTGCTCAAGGACGTCTTTGAGGAGTGAGTCTGGCCTCAGTCACGGCAGTCGGGGAGCCTGTGGCGAGGCCAGGGTTTGGAATCAGGGAACCTTGTGCATCCAGAGCCGGGCCTCACACTGCCCTCCACCCCACAAAGCCACAGGGCGAGGGGTGGGGGGACAGGCGGCAGGCAGTGTCCTCTTCCTGCCTGTCACCCTGTGGCCCTCCTGCCACCAGGCCCTGTGTCCCCTGCAGGTCCCCTGCATGTCAGCATGGCAGCCACAAACCTGGAGAACCAGTTACACAGCGCACAGAAGAACCTCTTGTTCCTTCAGCGGGAGCACGCCAGCACGCTCAAGGGGCTGCACGCGGAGATCAGGCGGCTGCAGCAACACTGCACAGGTGTGGGGTGGGGGCAGCCAGCTCCCTTCAGGGGCCGGGGCAGGGCGGTGGGGGTGGGGGGCCGTCCCAGGCCTGCCCGCCAGGGCTGCAGAGCAAAACAGAACCTGTCATCAAGACAATTTCACACTGGCTGCCTCCAGGGCTGTGCCAGGGGAGTGAGAAGGGGGTCACTTCCCTCCTCTGGGGGGTCAACCCTGTCATCGCTGGAGCCCCTCTGAATGCCTTACCTCATCCTCTTTGCCGAGGCCACATGCACCGAGCATCAAGCTGGAAAGCCAGTTCTCAGCTTACTGAGGCTTGAAGGATCCAAGTGCAATGGTTAGAGTTTATTAATACAATGCATCTTGGAGCCAATGACCAAAGTATAACACACAGAGCAAGCTGCTTGGTAATTGTGGATGTTGGGGTACATATAAGGGGAAAGAAGGGTCCCCTCTGAACCCTAGTAAGGACAGTGGCCACTGATGGTCTCTGGTGTCACTTTTGCCTCTAACGCTGGCAATCCCTGCCCTGTCTGGGCAGAACCCTCGGGCTGATCGTGGGAATCAGTTCTGCATTTTCAGAGCAGATGAAGGTTTTGAAGGTACAGTAATCATTCGCAATGATTGTATATGATCTCCTTTTTAGATTTAACGTATGAGCTGACAGTCAAGAGTTCGGATCAGACAGGTAAGAACTCCCTTCCCCAAATTTGATGCCACTGTTGTCTCCTATTGTGGCAGATGTTGGTGCCACCTGTTTTCACTAATGACACATTTAGAAGAAAACACATTTACTGTGAAGAGTTGTGCGTGTGATCAGAGCTTTCCGAGAGGAGGGCAAGGGCAGTCTGGACTCCCTAGGTGTGACAAGGGGCTGTCAGTGGGGCAAGAGGGGTGCATGCTTTTTTTTTTTTTTGATTGACACATGTATTTAGAATGGGCTTCCCTGGTGGCTCAGACGGTAAAGAATCCACCTGCCATGCCGGAGACCCAAGTTCAATCCCTGGGTTGGGAAGATCCCCTGGAGAAGGGAATGGCTATCCATGCCAATATTCTTGTCTGGAGAATTCCATGGACAGAGGAGCCTGGAGGGCTACAGTCCATGGGGTTGCAACAAGTCAGACACAACCGAAGCGACCAATACGTCATTTAGAATGCCCATTCTCTCTGGGCTTCCCTGGTAGCTCAGTCAGTAAAGAATCTTCCTGCAGTGCAGGAGACCAGTGTTTGATCCCTGGGTCAGGAAGATTCCCTGGCGAAGGAAGTGGCAACCCACTCCAGTATCCTTGCCTGGAGAATTTCATGGACAGAAGAGCCTGGCAGGCTGCAGTCCATGGGGTCACAAAGAGTTGGGCATGACTGAGCGACCTTCACTTCACTTCTCTGCTTTTCTGGGTTCTCTGGTTTTTTTACAGTGAGTATGCGTTCCTTCTGTAACCAAGAACGAGATGTGATATAAACCAGAAAGAAGAGGTGGAGTAGGGTTCCATCTGTGTCCAGCAAGTTAGCACAGGAGCTGGCACAGCATGTGTGCTCTCTACAGACTGGTTGAAGGAGGGGCCACATTACTGGGTGGCCTCCAGAACAGCCCTGAACGCCTCTCTCTCGACTCTTGTCCCAGCAATGCTCCCCCAAAGCCAGAATTTTAAGGAACTTGCAAAGCTACCAGCCTGCTGGCAGCTGGGGCAGAGGGGACAGAAGCCAGGGCCTCTATGGCCTGTCCCAAATAGCTGCACCAGAGAACAGATGACGATTTTAAAAGTGCAAAAACCACACTGGAGTCAAGATGGCTTTTTCTAAACAGGCCTTCCCCCAGGGGTTATGGTTCAGGCTCTGAGAGATGCAGAGAGGGGACCTGAGGCAGGGGAAAAGTGGCAGTCTGGCATTGGGTCTTCCCCGAAACTTGAGAGCTTTTGTGCCTTAGACATGGAGAACGTCTACATCTGTCTTTCCAAAACGGCCTTTGAATGGAGCAGACAGATGGCTGTGCTAACAGGGTAATCCTACGCCTTTGGAAAGGTCTAAGGCGTCCCAGGTGGCTCAGCAATAAAGAATCCGCCTGCCAATGCAGTAGACATGGGTAGGATCCCTGGGTCGGCAAGGTCCCCTGGAGGAGGAAATGGCAACCCACTCCAGTATTCTTGCCTGGGAAATCCCATGAAGAGAGGAGCCGGGTGGGCTACAGTCCACGGGGTTGCAAAAAGAGTTGGACAGGACTCAATGATTAAACCACAACCAACCAATACTCTGAAGCTGCCCATTTTAACATCAGCGTTTTTTAATTTGGAGACATCCTTTCATGCACTAAGCCACAGAACTGAACTGGATGGGGCCTCAAAGACCTCCTGATCACCTACCCTTTCCTGGGAGGAGAGGGCACTGAAACGGCATGAGGGGTGTGGGGTCCCGCCTTCCTTGTGGCCTGTGGGTACCACACCCATCTTGGGCAGGCATACCCCTCCCCCATGGGGAGGCGAGGCTGGCCTAGACCCCTGATCCTTGCAGGGAAGTCTCCCTGCCCCCGTTCCGCCCCCCCCCCCCCAGCACCTAGCCGCCCTGCCCTTGGGTTCTCACTCTGCCCCCTCGGCTTGTCCATCCAGGGGACGGAGCTTCCAGAAGCAGTGAACTCAAGAAAAGATGTGAAGACCTGGAGGCGCAGCTGAAACTGAAGGAGGACGAGAACGCAGAGTTGCTAAAGGAGCTGGAGCAGAAGAATGCGATGATCACCGTGCTGGAGAACACCATCAAGGAGCGCGAGCGCAAGTACCTGGAGGAGCTGAAGGTCAAGAGCCACAAGCTGGGTGTGCTGACCAGCGAGCTGGAGCAGCGCGCCGGCACCATCGCCTACCTGACCTCGCAGCTGCACGCCACCAAGAGGAAGCTCCTGAGCTCGGGCGGCACCTCGGACGGCAGCCCGGCCGGCAGCCCCGCGGTGGCCAGCTACAAGCCGGCGCCGCCCAAGGACAGGCTGCCCGAGACGCCCCGGCGCCGCATGAAGAAGAGCCTCTCGGCCCCGCTGCACCCGGAGTTCGAGGAGGTCTACAGATTCGGGGCCGAGAGCCGGAAACTGCTGCTGCGGGAGCCGGTGGACGCCATGCCAGACCCCACCCCGTTTCTGCTGGCCAGGGAGTCGGCCGAGGTCCACCTGATTAAGGAGCGGCCCCTCGTCATCCCCCCCATCGCCTCGGACCGCAGCGCCGGCGAGCAGCCCAGCCCCGCGCGGGAGAAGCCGCACAAGGCGCACGTGGGAGTGGCGCACCGCATCCACCACGTGGCCCCAGCGCAGGCCCCGCCCGAGGTGGAGACGCTGGCGGTGGACCAGGTGAACGGAGGCAAGGTGGTCAGGAAGCACTCAGGGACGGACAGAACTGTGTGAGCGCCCCCACCCCCACCCCCCGCGACCCTCCACCCCGCTGTCGAGGCACTGTGATCACCACTAGGAAAACACTTCATCCGCACCTCCTCTTTCGCTTTTTTTTTTTTAATCCCCATGCATGCCAAATTTTTTTCACACTGTCAACAGATTATTCTCCTCCTGCTCCTCCTCTGGCCCTCTGACTTGACACCGAGACACGATCTTGCCCCTGCCGCAGAATCCGTATTTACTAATCGCTGAGGCCAAGCACCTGTGTGCCCACTCGCTTGCTTCCAGCCCCGCTCCGCGGAACCTCCGCGCACGCGCGCGCGCACAGCCGGGCCGCAGGCCGCGTTCCTGCTCGACGTTAACGAAATTATCCGATAGTCACACGCCTAATTCTAAAGTCCGAGCAACGCATATCGGCCTTGACCTCACGCCTCCGGTTTCCGGGGCGGCCTTTCCGGAAAAGCCCTGCGCCCTCCTGGAGACCCCCCCTGACACACCCTCCCCGGGGGCGGCACAGATAAGCCGAGCAGTTGTATGTTATGTCACAGGAACTAAATAAGATGACACTACTCCTCATATCACCACGACCTGAATGTGTGTTCACATTTTTTGTTGTTTTATCCAAAATGTCCAAGATCCCAACAAACTTTATTTTCTAAACCTGCCTTCTTTCTGTTTTGTGTCTTTTATTAAACCACCCCAGGGTGGGCCTGGAGGGGAGGGACAGTGGGAGGGGGAGAAATAGCGCACCCCCCCCCGTAAGTGCTGCCCAGACAGTGGGCTCGCCCAGGCTAGGTCCCGGGGTGGGGCTCACTTCCGGAAAGAGGAGGCCCTGTTAGTTCGCACTACCCAGAGCTAGTCCCTAGAATGTTCTGCGCTTCTGGCAAAAGTCGCTTTTCTGGCCCTGCCCTTGTGTCCTGCTAGCGCTCAGCTCAGACCTGTCCCTCCCATGCCGAGTTAAGCTGCTCTTCACCCCCAGACCGGCCTGGCCAGGGCTCTAGGGGCACAGAAGAAAGGGACGCCCAGGAGCCGCTGGTCCTGGAAATTTCTAAATCTGCACCCTCACAAACCCAGGCAGTTGGGGGCAGGAGCTCAGGCAGGGGCTTAAACATCAGACCCACTGGTCTCACCCACATGCTGGCAGGTCTGCAGCACAAGAACTGGTCTGGAGAGTTGGGGAAGGGAGAGGTCCTGGGTGGTTCTGTCCACCTCTGCTCCTCCTCGGCATCATCAGCCCAGGGAAGGGGCCCTGCTGACCCCACGGGGCAGCCCCGGCCTTCTACCCCACACCCTAGCACACAGTGCTTGCCTCCAAAGAGGCAGCTGCTGAAATAGACCTGGATTATCAGAAAACCACCTTTGGGGGACTTCCTGGTGGTTCAGTGGCTAAACCTCCCTGCTCCCAATGCAGGGGTCTGGGGTTCGATCCTTGGTCAGGGAACTAAATCCCACATACTGAAACTAAAGATCCTGCATGCTGCAACTAAGACCTGGCACAGCCAAACAAATGACTAAGTAAATACTAAAAACAAAAACAAAAAAAACACCTTTGACAATTTACATTAGAATTCTCACTTGTGCCATTGATATGCCAGGCAATTTTGTTGAGAAGGGAAAGAGATTTCCGTCTGAAAAGGGAAAGAGAATTCGACACATCTTAAAAGGCTCTTTTTAATTTTACTTTTTGAATACACAGAATCCTTAAAAAATAGTTTTTTTGAAAAAACCATTCAGGCTAACTAATATAGAAAAAGATGAAAATGGCTGATTTCAAATGAAAGGAAAAAGCAGTGTCAATCCCCCTCCTTCCTCCAGCGGTCCCAAGAAGTGACAGCAGACGATCTAGTCTTCCCTAACTCCCAGCATATCCACCGCTGACCACAGACTTAGAATTCATTGTTGTTTCTTCAGCCAGAGGGTTAATCAGAATTCAGGGTGAGGCACACCCCTTGCAGGACCCAGTGAGAAATGTGCTTCGTGGTAAAGAGATCAGCTTCAAAGACCAAGCCGACCCCCATGGCATTCCTTCTGGTGGAGGTGGTGTAGACAGGCGTCCGGAAGGTGTTCTGCACAGGAAAAAGCGTGTGAGGGCAGAATCGAAAGTGAAATTGAAAGCTGCTCAGTCATGTCCGACTCTTTAAGACCCCATGGACTATACAGTCCATAAAATTCTCCAGGCCAGAATACTGGAGTGGATAGCCATTCCCTTCTCCAGGGGATCATCCCAACCCAGGGATCGAACCCAGGTATCCCATATTGCAGGAGGATTCTTCACCAGCTGAGCCGGCAGAAGGGAGCACTAGTCCCAGAGGGTGGGTGGGAGGGCAAAGGCGCATCAAAGAGCTAAGGATGCAGAGGGCTCCCCACCAAGTGCATGAGGCACGCCCAGGCTCTGCAAACACCCATGAAAAGAGGATAGGTGGCAGGGCAGGATCACCTGCCGTCCACACCGAAGGTAACTCCATTCTGATCCAAGGAGTGCCCACAGAATTTCCCAAGAAGGGAGAAGTCACTCCTGAAGCAGGCCTGGACCACAGCCTCCAACCTTGAACCCGTGCCCCTCTGAGGAAGACTCTGCATGCACGCATGCACACGAGTGCATTTCCCGGGGACGGGCTCAAGGGCTTCCCCCAGCCCTGAAAGGTGAAGGGCTCCTGTGCTAAAAGGCAAGACTGTCGGAAACCACCTGGTGTCTAACTAGTCAGAGACCAGAAGAGGAGAACCAGGATGGGCATCAGCATTTCACCTGCAGTTTGAGGCGATGGGCTTCAATGGGGATGATCTTCAGGATGGGCAGGTCAACCACCAGCACCTTGGGTTTGCTCTTGATAAGACATCCTCTTTCTATGTCCCAGTCAGCGCCTTCTAGATACAGTCCTGACACAAAGCATCCTAGAGGCACAGGAAGAGAGCCAGGCTTAGGCAGTTGTTGTTTAGTCCCTCAGTTGTGTCTGACTCTTTTGCAACCCCACAGGCTCTTCTTGCATGGGATTTCCCAGGCAAGAATACTGGAGTGGGTTGCCATTTCCTCCTCCAGGGGATCTTCCCAACCCAGGGATCGAACTCGCGTCTCCTGCATTGGCAGGCGGATTCTTTACCACTGAGCCATGCTGGAAACCCTGGACTCAGGCAGGGGCATGTATAATTCTGCTGTATGGTTCTTAGGGGATGTGCATATCAATGAACAAAATGGTAACTAACCGATTCTCCTTTCCCAGACACAGCCCATGCCTGTTCCCCAAAGACATGGCCACCACTTCTACCTGGCCCGCTTTCCCTTCATAGAGGAACAGCTCAGATGCGATGCCCCGGAGACCCCATGACCCTCCCTACGGCCACCATGCCATGGAGGAGGGGTGGTCGTCTCTCCCCAGCGATTTGGTGCCCCAGACTTAGCGGCCTGGGGCCCCCAGAGTCAGCTGGCACCACAGCAATTCCGAGTCCCCCAGAGCCGAAGTGACAGGAAAGCAGGGAGCTGAAGCCTCGCAGAGGAAGTGGCCTCAGGGGAGGAGGACAGTGCATACTTGCCAGGAGTGGAGAAGAGGATGGCCACTTGGCCCAGAGAGGGTGGTGGCCCCAACACCGCCAGTCCCTCTGAGACCTCTCTGGGTCTTCTACAATGGGGATGGAGCATTCCTGAATGTTCACTGTAAATCCCCGCTCCCCGAGCTATCAGTAGCTCAAGAGGGCTTTTGTGCCCCAACCTTTTCGGCACTAGGGACCAGTTTTGTGGAAGACAATTTTTCCACGGACTGGAAGTCAGGGGCGATGTTTGCGGCAATGGTTTCAGGATGATTCAAGTATATTGCATTTCTTGTGCACTTTATTTCTACATCAGCTCTGCCTCAGATCATCAGAAACAGACCCTAGAGGTTGGAGACCACTGTTCTAAGACGTGACTCCCCCAAGAAACAGCAGTTTCCAGCTGTAATTTGCAGACTGTGGCCAGTGTCTAAGGGACTTGAAGTCACAGTACAATTAAATGGTCCGCACCTCACCTATCCCACTCTCTGGGTTCCATGCCCCTGGGGTCTCATGGTTCTGGGAAGCCACCTGGTGATCCAGTTCTTTGAAAGCTCACATTCTAACCCTAGGAGCCCATTTCCCATAGACGAGCAGGGCGAGTGTGGCTCAGCTCTCCCCTGACATCAGCCTGTATCTCAAATGAAGAACCAGACCAGAGGCACACAGACACACCCTCAGAGATGCCAGGACCCACGCAGACAGCGCACAGACACAGCCAGTGTTTGCAGTAGTCTGACCTTCCAACACTTCCTGGCCCATTCAGGCCCACACTGTGCTCACCTCTTTGGCTCCAGGAGGGAGACCTTACAGGAGAGACTGTGAGTCTACAGGGAGCTGGCCATACCTTGTCCTGCCCGCTCATTCACTTCGTCTGCGTCCTGGAACTTGGTCACTTGGGTGAACAGAGTAGAGCGGTCCAGTGGCCAGCCGTTCCTCCGGCAGGTGGCCTGCACCAGGGCCGTGAGGTAGGACTCTGGGATGTGCAGCCCAGAGAGCCACATCACACTGGGCTCACTCTCGGTGACCTGGAAAGGGAGGAGGTCAGGTGGTGGGAGCCTGGGGCTGCCATCAAATGCCAGGGTCACAGCTGACAAAAGAGGCAGTTCACCTTAGAGGAAGAAAGATGGTGTTGGGGCAGCTGGTGGCCCATTGGGAAAAACAAGCTGGATGGCCAAACTCCAGGTGGAGCAAAGACTTAAATACTAATAATAAACCACACTGAGACTTTGCATTCTAACTGCAGGGGTCGAGGGTTCAATCCCTGGTCAGGGAACTAGGATCCTATATCCCATGGCACAGCCAAAAACAAAACAAAAATGAATAAATAAATAAATAAACCACAAAAGTACCAAATGAGATCTCCAGCGAGTGTTTTCAGAATTATGGAGTGGGGAATACAAAACTCAGAAGCCATGAAAGAAAAGACTGGTCTTTTTGACTACATTAAAATGTAAAACTCTCCTATGGGAAAAAAATACACAAAATCA